AGAGAGAGACAGACAGAGAGAGGGAGGGAGAGAGAGAGATGTGTGCCTGCGGCGCATGCGTTCTGCGGTTCTCCTGAGGTGGTGTGATCTGCCGGCAAGCTACAGCCCTGCGACCGGTCACCAATGAATGTGGCCAGATTCTGAGCCTGCTTGGACCGAAGCGGCAAAGCTGCGCAACTGCGCACAACTCTCAGGCTGCTGCGCAGACACAGTCATGACCACAGCTGCTCAGTGCAATTCCGAAAAGGGAGAGGGCGCGGCGATCGCTCCGCAAATGGCTCCGCTGAGGTGAAAGCTCGGAGAGCTTCGTCCCCAAGAGGCGCGGCCGGGCGCGGCGCGCGGCCATGGGCTGGATCCCGGTCCCGTGTGCAGGCGGCGAACAGGGGACAAAGCCTTGGCGCTGCCTGAGCTTTGAGCCAGTAGTTGCCAGGCGCCGGTGTGCCCCTCGCTCTGCGTACTACGTTACTCTGCGCGTTTCCTCGAGGTGAGCCCGCAGAAGAAGCCGCCTCTGGAATCGAAGCTCCCGATGCACAAAACTTGTCCGGGAGCAAAGAAGCTTAAAGTCAGAATTCAAAGGAGGTCAGGTCCCTCGCGCAGTTTGCAAAGGTCCAACATGGCCCGAGCCTGCGGTGTTTGTCGGCTTCCGAGCAAAGAGTTCCCGCAGGAGCGGAACAGCAGCTTTTGCAGACACAGCCTTTACCAAAGCTCTGGCACATGGGAGGCCTTCAGAACGCGAAAGGAGATTTGGCAGAGTGCCAGGACGCGGGGCTGATGGGAGGGCTTGCGAGCCGAAGCCGAAGAGCCCCGAGAAGTCTGCGCGCGTCTGTCGGAGGCCCCAGGCATCGGCCAACACGCTGCAAGCGCCGGGCCTTCCAGAGCAGAAGGAGCTCCAGCCGGAGGTCTTGTCCAGGCGAGGTGCCCAAGACTCTTCTTCGAGGAGAAGAGAGAGATGTCTCAAATTTGGGTCGAGAGAGAGAGAGAGAGAGAGAGAGAGAGAGAGAGAAGGAGAAGACGGGGCCGAGAGCGGCGCGGGGTGTCTCCCTCCGCCTGCAAGTTTGGCTCTGCAGCGCCTCCGAGAGCTCCCGGCGCCTCTCGGCGTAGCCTTTTTGTAAAGCTGTGGCTCTCTCTGCTGTCTCTCTTTTAGCGTAATGAGAGGAACCCAGCTTTTGGCCGAAGGATCCTCCCTAAGGCAAGAGCCGGCGAACGGACTTCGAGGCGCTGAAACTCCGCAGGGCCTTCCCGCCGTCTCCCGCCCGCCGGAAGGTCTCGCCGCGGCGCTGGCCTTCGACGCCCGGCTCCCAGGAGAGGCGCGCGCGCGGGGTGTCCGCCCGCTTGCAGGTCTTGCAGGCCGATGTGGCGGAAGCTTTGAGGCCGAGGCCGGGCGCCAGGGCCTCCCGAAGGCCACGCCGCGAAAGCACTGAGAGGCTCGCGACGGTGCCTTCTGCTCTTCGCCCAACAGAACTGCGCAGGGCTCAGGGCTGCAGGGCACACGGCTCTGCGAATTGCATAGGTGTGGACACTTGCGCTGAGGTCCAGTACATTGCAGGCTCGCGCAGTACTGGAGGTGCTCACGGGAGTCGACACAGTCGCCCGGGTCACGTCGCGAAGTTCGCGATGCGTCCCTTAGAAGGCGAAAGGCGACGGGCACGGGGTGAGAGCGACGGCCCACCGCTCGCGCTTTGCTGCTCTTGGGAGCTAGAGTCGCTAGAGATGGGCTCGCTACACGCACAGACTGGGCCCCCACAGGTGCGCATAGACGAAAGGCCCGGGCATACAGAGCGATGCGCGCTCGCTATTGGAGGCAAACAGCAGCGTTAGGCCGAAGAGAATGCATGTGACCTGGCATACTCCCAACTTGCGATATCGGACCGATGCCTGTGCTCAGTCTGCGACTTGCACGTCCCTTAATTATACATGGATAGATCTAAAGTCTCAGAGTCTAGGATTAAGAGAATCTGAAGTCGGCACGAGTGAGCCTGGGTGGCTGCTTGTCGTAACGGCATGGATTTGGCAGGGTCGTGTTAAACGCGTTTAGGTTTAAACGGTTTGAGCTTAAATGTATTTTTCAGTCAGTGTCGTCACGTTGTGATGTTGAGACCAAGGTTTACGCATATCAAGACGAGCGTTTGGACATGTTCAAGCTGCTAGGGCTTCTACGCACGCGCCCCAACAAAAAGGGAATGTGATTCGAAACGGCTTCGAGGGAGGGCCAGCCAGGAGGCTCAGAAGGGTTCCTGCAGAGGCTCCTTCCTCGGCGCGGTTCGCTTCCTTCAAAAAGAGACCCCTTCTCCTCTCTGCGTGTTCTAGGGGTTTTTTAAAGCCTGGTTTCAAATGAGAGGTGCGAAGGGCTCTAAAACCAGATTCGTTGAGGCATGAGGGGGGTCTCGCGCGAAGGCTAGTAAACACGTAGGAGCATGGCGCCGGCCCCTCATGTGTATTTGGCGTCTAATATACTTGGTCTATGTAAGGAAGCAGCGGGTGTTGTTGTTCACGTCTGGGCCGCTGCGCTGGGAGCCGCAGGTCAGCGGCCGCTTGCTCTGGAAGGAGCCCTCCGCCGCGGCCCGCGAGGCCTCCGCGCAGGGCAGCAATCCCACTGCGGCCACTGCGCTGCACTGCGCTCACTGCTCGGCTCCTCAGAGGCCACCTCGGAGCCCACGGCGCAGGGCCTCTCCAATGCCGTGCAAAGCTCAGCCACGGTGCGCTGGCAAGGCCTAGGGCCGGGCAGCTAGGCCTAGGGCCTAGGGCCCAGCCATGGCTTGCACGGCTTACTTCAGCCTTATAAATTGTCTGTGCGTATGTGTACTTGTTCCATGAGAACTCCAGTGACTGGAGGGAGAGAGAGAAGTGAGAGAGATGGACACTGCCTCCGTCATATGGCATATGGGTTTCAGGCGGGAAGTTTCAGATTGCTTCCTGGACAGACTTTGCTTCCTAGTCTCGCACTGCCGGTACTGAACGGACGGCATCATGTGCGTGGGGGTCACTCTTGGTTTCCCTGACCACAGACTCGTTCTGGGCCGCCAGACGCATGCTGCCAGAATCGTGACGGCATTATCGTACGTCTCATCTACGCATGTTTGGAACCTCCGACAGGGCGGAAGCCAAGGGATGGATGAGGGGGGTTGAGCCGCTCTGATAGCAAGAGCTGCAGAGCCGCCAAGTGCTGTTCTGGACTTGGAGGCACAGCGACGCTCGCTTCAACAAGATGCCGCGCACAGCCGCTCTTGCCGTTGCTTTCCCCACAGGCCTTGAAGGGCACGGGGGAAAGCAGCGGTCGTCACTCCGACAGATTTTGCCCAGGCCACAGCCAATACGAGGCAGGGAAGCTTCTTCAGTTCTTGCGTCCACGTCGTCGCGTTGATGCAGGTGAGAATCTGGCTAGCTGGATTCCAATCACCTGGCCTTGCTGAAAGAGGCGAAAAGGGAGGGGGGGTTCAACTCTTTGTCGGGCCTCTCCTTTTTGTCGCTTAACTCAGGCCTTGGTCACGATTCGGAGAGAAGTGGCCCGCTTTCGGGCCCAGGAGCGCGGGGCTTGGCTCGGCGGCTTGGGCCTGCAAGGAAGGGACAAAAAGGGCAGAGTCAGAATGCAGGCTTGCCACCACTGCATGGTGCCTGGTCCGCCCTTTGCGTCGGGAGCCCCGTAAAAAGCTATCTTCTTTGGGCGAGTGTCCGGTGCACGACAGCCTCAGACTTCCACGGCCAAGGCACGGGTGAGGCGTTGCCAGAGTTCTTGGGCCAGGAAGCTGCAGGCAAGGGTTGAGCAGAGATTCCTGAAGTGTGTCTTGGAAAGCAGCCAGCGCGAGGGAGGGAGTGAGATTTCTCCACTTGTTTTGTATCCACTTTTCTTCCTTTGTTGTGCCCTTGCTTTCGAGCCTCTCTGCCCCGCAGGTCGCCCCCTGGACGTGCAATCGCGATCCATGCTGCTGGAGGCGGACGGGGCTTTTGCCAAACTTTGCAAGGAGAAGTCTGGGTGTCTTTCCAGGCGCTGGCTTCTGCCGGGCGCTTGCGGGCGCCGACCTCACAAGGGGACGGGGGACCACTGCAGTTCCAGCGCCGCTCTGCGGGAGGCGTGCGAGGATCTGATGGACTGGGAGCTGCCCGTGTCCTAGTCCCTCGAGTCCCTCGAGCCTCGAGCTGTGCCCCGGAGCAGTTTCCGTCGGCGATGCTGCTGACTTTAAGGAGTCTTGGGCTTCTTCCAGGCAGTGCGATCTTCGCTCACAGAGAGCATCGGCTGCGGATCGGCTGTGCCCTTCCTGCGCAGGTGCCGGGGCAGTGCTGACGCTCCTGGAGAACGGCGGTGAGTGAGAGAGAGAGAGGCGTGGGAAAGAGTTCACGGGGCGCATCCTAAGGGCCCCATTCTGGAGCGACTTTCCTCTAAGCAAGTGCGCATGTGCCGACTGCTCTCTATTCACACACTGGGCAGGATGCGACATCGTAGTGAGACGAGCATCTCCTGGACAGAAAAGACTGGCCAGGGCAAAAGCCGAGAGTGGTTTAGTTATTGCGGGGTTCGGTGATGGCATCGTAATGGGCCCGGGTGGAATCGCCCAGGGCGACGGAGCATGCTACCCCAGTATGCTGCGCAGGGTGCGGGGCGCTTTTGGGGCTGCGTCGCTGTGCAGTGCTGGCTTTCCCCAGCAGGGCTTTGGCCTTGTGCTTGCTTGGTGCTTTTTTGCAGTAAGTTTGTTTCGCAGGCTTGGAAGGAAGCCTTCCTTGTCCAACAAGTATGTGAGAGTCCTTTCCGGCGCCCCGAGAAGTCCACGAGGGCTTGGCTTGGGCTTGCAGATGTCCGGCATCTTTTTTGTTGCGGGCTGAAGCTCGGGCCTAGCTAGGGATGTTCACGGATGTTCGAGTCCCGAGATGATCGCCTGGGCCTGAGAGCCGTGCTTGTAAATGAGCTCCACAAGGAGAAGGGCAAGGCGCTGCTCTGCGTTCTTCTCTCCTTCTCTGAGGTGGAAGCTTGGCGTCGAAGCTGAAGGCCTCCTTGGAGGATGCGCGGAGAGCGCCGACGTCTCGGCAAAGCGAAGGGACCCAGGCCAGGCCCCGCCAGAAGCGGCCCTTTCGCAGCCGCTGCGCGCTCGCCGCCTTCGCAGGTGAGTCCAAGTTTGCCGTCGCCGAAGGGAGGCGCGCAGTCTGACTTCCCGGGATTGGAGTCGAAAAGCCCAGCTATTTTGGGCTGTGCACTGGGCCTGCAAGGGCGCAGTGACTAAACTCCAAAGCCAAAGGCCCAAGCCGTCAGCGTCAAACCACCATGCAATGCCACAGCTCAAGATCCAAGCCGTCCCACACAGAAGGGAGCGGGGATGGCCAAATGCGGGGATCCCATTCAGAAGAGAGGAGGGCGGGGGGGGGGGGGGGGG